GAGCGTAGACGAGCTGCACGCGTCCCTGGCCGGAGGGCGGGGGGGTTTTGGGTGAGCCCGCCCCGGCGCCCGCCCCGCCCGCGGCCTGGAGCGCCTCCCCGGCCGCCCTGGATCTCGGGAGCCGCGCGGGCCGAGCTGCGGGAGCCGCCGCGACACAGTCGCCGCCTGCGGGGTCCGCTCCGGCTGCACCATGCGTGAGCTGGCCGTCGAGATCGGGGTCCGAGCCCTGCTCTTCGGGGTCTTCGTGTAAGTAGGGGCGCACAGGCGCGGGGACCCATGGACCGAGCGATGGTGCGCCCCAACTTTGTTTGCGCCACCGCGTTCCGGCGGGGCCTGGATTCCAGATCCCGGCCCAGCTCCGAGCCCGGGAGGCGCCCTTTGGGACCCGGGGACCCTCCTGCGACCTTCCGCGCGGGTCTGAGACCTGCTCCCGCCGCCGCCACCAGCGGGTGGGGGAGCGGGTCCAGCGCCCTCGGGTCCTCCTCGCCGGCGCACCTGCCCGGGGTTCGGGGATCCCCTGGAGACGGACGCGCCCTCGGGAAGTTTCTACTCTGAGCTCGGAGCCCGTTTGCAGCCCTGGCTCCGGGCTCCTCTCCCGTTGCTCCCGCCGCCCCAGGCCAGGCTCGGGGTCCTGGTGAGCGTTTCCCAGGAGGCGTTTGTGGTACTTTCGGCTGGAAAATTGTTGCTGCGGAAGCTCGGGAAGTGGGGGCCACCCCGCAGCCCCGGGTGTGGGCTCCATGCGCCCGCCGCCCTCTGCGCGGAGGCCAGGCCCCAGGACCCTTTAGGCTGCGGCGGGTCCCTGGAATAGAGACGTTAGAGGAGGTCAGCCTGGCAGAGATGTGGGTGCCCCTGGGCCCGCCACCCACCGGCCTCCGGCCCGCAGCAGGGAGCCCTCGCGCCTCTGCAGCTCACCCCCACCCAGGCCCGCCTTCTCCCATCACCAGGGCTCACACCGGCCTTGTCCCTCCATTGGCATCCGGTTCCCTCTCCCTCTGCCCTCGCTGTTTCTGACACAGGTCACACGTTAAAGTTGCGTGAACTTGCTGGATCTGCGGGGCTGTTTTGCTCGTTCGTGTTACTGAAAAGCGCGCTGAGCCATTCCAGTCTGGAGGCCGCTCCTCTCGGGGTCTCTGCCGGAACCCAGTCCTGCGGGCAGGTGGGAGGCTGGGAGCTGCTGGCAGCCGGGCACAGGGACAGGAGTGCCCTGTCTCGCCTGCTTTCCGTCCTGGGGTGAAAGCCACAGTGTTACTCCCCCAGCAGGAGGCCCAGCCCCCAGGTGCAGGCAGGCCCCTCCCGCCGCAGGAAACACCATGATTCAGGGGAACAGGGGCCAGAACTTCAGTGGATCTTGGGAAAAGGGAGAACACGTTTCCCTCTTCTTACTCTACTTTTCTAGCTTTGAAATGAACATTCAGACTAGTGATTGGACAGTTTCCAGTGGCAGAGAGACTAAGCCCCGTAAAATGTGTCAGAAATGAGAGCATTGGGTGCAGGTGGAACTGAACCTCTGCTGGGTGACAGCGATGCTGAAGGGAAGAGAGGAGGCTCCGCGTGGCCTGGTTTGCCTGCTGCTGGGAACCTCACGGTGGGACAGGGTCCAGCACGCCCGGGCCGTTTCGGCTCAGTGGATAGAGCGTCGGCCCTGGGACTGAAGGGTCCTGAGTTCGATTCAGACTCACCCCCATCCCCGGCCCCAGGTTGGGGAGCGTGCAGGAGGCAACCAATTGATGTGTCTCACATGTCGATGTTTTTCTCTCTCCCCCTCCCTTCCACTCTCTAAAACCAATGGGACAATATCCTTAGGTGAGGATTAAAAAAATAAGAAAGGGTCCAATCCTATTTATATTGTTCTCAGGTTTTCCTTCATGTTTCCTCAAGCAGTTACGAGATGTTTACAAATACGTAAAGGTCTGTGCAATGGATTTGAAAATTCAATGATTACTGTCAATGTGCTTCTTGCGCCCCCTTAGGATGATATGTAAAGCCAGCCAGTTTATACTCTTCTCTCCAAACGCCCCCTTGGTATTAACGACCTCACCCAAAGGGAAACACCTGGGCATGGATGGCACTTTTGGCCGATTCCCTGGTTTTCCTATCAAATCGCTGTGCAAACTTGTGGCTCCGTCACCTACAAAGACCAGCTCTAGTGCTGGCGGGAGACTCTCTGTGGGAATCCTGACTGTGCAGAGCTGTAATGGGCAGGCAGATGGCAGCTTCCGGAAGGACAGGCTCTGGGCTCACAGACACAGATGACCCTCTGTCTTCTCAGATAGGCCCTGCGAGGTGACAGAGGCTGGCGGGGGAGTTGTATTCTTCCTTTGCCAGCGCTGGTCGGATGGCAAGGTTGGGTGGGCTGTACTCACCTCTGCTCATGAGGAAGGTGGTCTCAGCCGAAGGGCCTCACCTGGGCAGGTGTGGAAAGTCCCTTGGGGCAGGCAGAACCCAGTATCTCTGCTGCCGGGTCAACTTAGCTGATAGAATTCACCTGGTTCCGCTGGTGTTTCTACCCTGTTGATTGCCCAGGATAAGAGAAAAATCTGGTTGGAGGGATACCTTGAGTTGCAAACTGGTGCCTCTGGGGAAACACCACCTGTGGACACACCTGTTCTCTGACCACATTTGTTCTGTACGAGGCCAGAAAGCCCATCCCCCGTTGCCAGGTGCTCCTGTGGAGTCTGCGTTTGCAGGAATGAAGTGCATCTGGGACCACGATGGGGGGATGACAGTGTCCCCAGCTCACCTGGGGAACCGGTGCTCCGTGTGCAGCAGGTGCTGGTGACTCGGGATTCTAACGTGCTCCCGGCCCCCAGAGCTGCCCTGAGACACGCCCCGAGAGGCGCTCAGTGCCTTTGGGACAGTCCAGCCTGAGAACTTGAAGACACTGGAGGAAAATGAGGGATGAGTAATGCAAACTGGAGCTGCCACAGAAAGGGTGACCGAACAGGAAAGGCACTGGTAGGGGGACGCAGAGTTTAGGAAAAGTCGAGGTGGAGGCTGTGCTGGGCACGTGAAGCTCTGGCCCAGAGGCCCCTTGGCCCTCACCTATGGGTGTGGGCAGAGCAGGAGCAGGGCACACGGGATTCCTGTGTCCGGAGCCCCCCGTCATCCAGGGGAGATTCTGGGAGCGTCTCTGCAGATGCTGAAGCCCACGGCTGCGTGAGCAAGACAGTGAGGAAACATGGCGGCCGGTCAGCAGCCCTGAGACCAGTGCCCCCTCCTTCCAGTTTTACTCCAGTCGTGACTGCTTGCGGGGCTCACCGTGTGCCAGGCCCTGAGGAGGAGGGTCACGTTCTGTGAGGAGCCCGTAGACGGGAAAGCTGCCATCGCTGTTCGCGGAGGGAGAAACAAGCACAGGCGGGTGAAGGAGCTGCCGCGTCACAGCTGAGATCTGTCTCTGCGCTCCCACTGCCTCGTCCGGGCTCTCGGTCACCTCGCTGAGCTGCTTTAGCAGAAGCAGCAGCCAGCGTGGGTCAGTCGAGGGCCTGCTCTGTGCCAAAGCTACTCCGTCTCACTCGAAGTGGACACTCTAGATTCTGTCCACCTTACGAACAAAGAGACCAAGGTCTGGAAAGGTGAAGCAACTGCCTGAACACACTCCACTAGCTGAGCCATCGCCTGGATTTGGACAGGCAGTCGGCCCCGCACCGTCAGCCACTGAGCTAGAGCGTCCAGCACCAGCCGCAGACTGAGCGGAAATGAACGCATCCTGGAAGGAGGCCCTGACGCAGCCTGATCTCCAGGAAAGCACGTGTGCGGCCTGGAGCCACGTGGGAGGGAAGAGCATCGCTCAGTTGTAAAGTCTGACTCAGGACGACACCTGAGCAGTGGGGAGGCGGCAGCTGTGGCCCACATCCTCGAAGAGACGGGAGTAGGACACGCTGCAGACCCTGAGGGTCTTCCTTAGGTCTTTGGAGCCCAGAGGGCGAGGTGTGAGTCCATTGCTGGTAAGAACATACATGGCCGTGTTCGAGAATTATCGGCAGCCCCTTCTCTCTCAGCTGGAGCATCGGGGACAGGCAGAGAGGGCCTGGCCCAAGACAGCTCTTCGGACGGAGTGTCCTGGAGCAAAGACCTGGAGGCCTGGGCGCACATGGTGGGTGGGGATTAGGTCACAAGGTGTGGCCTCAGCACAGAGTGTGTGTGTGTGTGTGTGTGTGTGTGTGCACGCGCGCGTGTCGGGGGAAGAGGGTGGTGGTGGCAGGAAATGAGCCAGAGTGCGACGTCTTCATGTTCTTCAGGGAAGCCTGGGCGGTCCCTCAGAGGCACTGACTGGGGATCCCCAGGAGACTTGAGACAGAAAAGTGTGTGATCAGACCCCATGGACACGGGCCCTGTTCACTGTTATCGGTGACGGTCCATCCCATCATTGATGTTTCTGTCTCTCTCCCTCTCCCTTCCTCTCTGAAATCAATAAAAATACATTAAAAGAAATGGGCATCCTTCTGTTTGAAGTGCTATTAGCCACTGTGAAGGAGCCACTGTACCCAGATTCCTGAGGCCTGATGAGCTTTCTCCCCAGCGATCAGCGCGTAGCACTACGAAAGGAGACGTCCCTTCATACTGTGGGCAGCGTCATCTCAGTCGTTCTGGAGACAATGCCTTTATGCCCCACACAAGGCTCATGAGAGCTCCGTGACTCGAACTCCCTATGATGGTGGCTGTTTGCACGTCAGAGTCATCTTAGTGACATTGCTTCTCTGAGAAATACATCTTGATGTCCTGTGAAGGAATCGCACACGCTGGTTCGCAGGGAGGAGGTGGGTTCAGGCAGGACCATGACTGGCCATATGTCCCCATCGTTCAACTAAAGGCACAGGGTGTGGGGGGAAGAGGCGGGAGACGCCCGGAACAGGAGCCCCCGGAGAGGAGCTGGGACTGTGGGAGCCAGGAACGGCGTCATTACCCTCTTTCAACATGTGAGAGAGAAACGGCCCCCAGAGGAGCCCTGGTTGTCATTCTGTCTCCACCAAGAGAAGGGGCAGGAAACAGCGGAAGCTGCTGGAGCATTTGGGGAGTTTCAGACAAGTACAGCCGCCAGTACACACTGCTTTGTCCTTTACCAGAGGGTTTGAAAAATGTGTTTTTATTGAAACACTAGAGGCCTGGTGTACAAAAATTTGTGCACTGGGGGGGGGGGGGAAATCCCTCAGCCCGGCCTGTGCCCTCTCGCAGTCTGGGACCCCTTGGGGGATGACCACCTGCTGGCTTAGGCCCGCTCCCCGGGGGATTGGGCATAAGCTGGCAAT